CCCCCCCCCGTTATGATTGGTGGGGGACTACTTACTTGAGTCTAGACATGCAAAGTACAAAAGACATGCAAAGAGACCTGCGTCTGCCACCTGATAAGAATGCTAAGATCCTTTCTTTGTAACACATTAAATGCTACTTATGCGTTCAGGAGAGGACATGTTTTGAGAAGTGAACAGGGTTTGGAGATCAAGGGTGACCTAAAACTCCATAGATCCTGTCATGGGGTTCCTGTTCAGAATAATTCCTGTCCTTCTCATACTCACTGTAGTGTCAACACATCAACTTACCTAGTGTCCACCGGACAAAATGAGGCTCAGTTGACACTGGGACTCATTTTTGGTTCCCGTCTCGCTACTCATGTCTCCTGATCTAGGAACCTCAGCCCCCATGATGCAGAGGTGACCCCCCACAACTATGGGAAACTTACTCCAGGTCCCGGAGGTGACAAGATGGTTCTATCATGGCCTCACACAGAAGGATCATCCCATCATCTCCCAAGGGGTTCATGCTAAGGCTCAGATGCGTCAGATGTTGGTTGCCCATAAATGCAAGAGCGAGAAAGCCACAGCCAATGACATCCAGGTTGCAATCATTTAGTCTGTAGGGCACATGCGAGGGGAAGAGGAAGGTCACACTTGTGACTTGGTGTGACCTTGGGTAAGCCACTTCTCTTGGCCTCAGCTTGCCCCTCCTTTGGGAGGGAATTATGTTCGTATTTAAGAAGGTTGTTAGGCGTACATGATGGGATGATGTTGAAGTGCTCAGCACAACACCTAATGCCTGTATTAGCTCCCTGTTGCTGCTGCAACAAACCACCACAGACGTAGTGCCTTAGAACACACAGGTCATGCTCAGCTCTGGAGGTCAGTCTTACTGTTAGCAGGGCTATATTCCTTCTGGAGACTCAAAGGGAGAGCCGTTTCCTTGCCTTTCCCAGCATTTATAGGTAGCCCATGTTCCTTAGGTCCTGGTCCCCAGCCAGCAGTCTCATCCCTCGGACCTTCACTATCCATCCCCTCCTCTAACTCTCCTGCCTCCTTCTTTTCCTCATACGGACCCTATGATGACATTGGGGCCACCCAGATAATCCAGGATCATCTCAAGATCCTTAATCACACCTGCAGAGTCCCTTTTGCCATATAAGGTCACATAATCACAGGTCCCAGGGATTAGGATGTCGATATCTTTTTTTTGGGGGGGGGAGGAGATCATTCTATCCATCATATGCTACATCAACCCATCACTTAGTCACCGGGGAACCTTAGAACATGTCATAAGGTAGACATATGCATTAGAATTCTATTCTTTAGCAGAATTTCAGGCTCTAGGGCTACCATTAACTCATGTATATTTTTCACTCATATGAAATTATTGGTGGATTAATTGGTGAAAAGGATGAAGTGACAGAAAGCAATGCGATCCCAAAGGAGCAAGTTGACAGCATGGAAGAGGAGTGACAAAAACCTCTCATTCTCACTGTCAAACCAGAGATTTGGGATAGAAGAGCAATCTGGCACCACAAGGAGGCAGCTGTTAAAATGGTGACATGGACACCTCATTGTACAGTAACTAGCCGAGCACACAGCATGCTCCACCTGTGTATCTGGCATCCCTGCTGTTGTGTCACACAGACTTTGTGACTTTTGGTCCTGTGTCACCACTACACCATCTGAAAATCTCATTTATTTGTTATCCAACTCTGCCTTACCAGAATTTAAGCTACATAAAGATAGAGACCCCTGTCTGTCTTTTATCTTTGTATCATTAACGACTAAGAATGTTATTGGCTTAATACAGTCGGTCCTCATGATTCATGGATTCTGTATTTGTGACTTTGCCTGCTCGCTAAAATTTATTGGTGACACCCCCAAATCAATACTCATGGCATTCACGGTCCTTCATGAATACACATGGGAAAATCGGAATCGCCGGTCATACATGTTGCTAGCTAAGGTTGAACCCATTTCATACTTTTGTGAACAGTATTGTTTTCATGGTCCAGTTAGTACCACGTTTTTTGCCTTTCTGTGCTTTTGGGGGGTTGTTGATTTCATTGTTTAAAATGTAAAGCTGAAGTGCTGTTCAGTGTCCTAATCTCACCAAGGCCGTGATGTGTCATGTGGAGAAAATACGTGTGTTATATACGTAAGCTTCGTTCAGGAATGACTCCCAGCGCTGCTGGCCATGAGCTCAGTACTAACAGATCAACAGTACATCAGAATAGGGCGCTTTTAAACAGAGCCACACAAAGCAAGGTGAGGCATTGACCCGTTAAGGAAAATGTGAGCAGAGGCTACAGGAAGCCCACCCTCCATTTCCCCCAGGGACAATGGTTCAGCATCAGTAGCTCAGTGTTCCCTGTGACTTTATAGGACACAACTGCCACAGATCATGAGAACCGACTGTATGGGGATGAATGATGACTTCCCACTGTAAGAAAATGCAATTTTCTGAAGAAGTGTGAGATCTAGGAGATGATTAGTAGGGACAGCATGTGGCACAGGGCAGATCCCTTCATCTGACCTTTCCATGCTTCCTATTCTGAGATGGACATAAGCTATTTGTCACCAAGCTATCAAGTCCTCACAAGGAACTGAGTTGACTCACATCAGTCTCCGTAGGGCACAGCTGAAAAGTTTCAATGCTCGACACAACAGATTCATGCCTTCACTGCCCAGGTTATTGGCCGACAGGTACAGGTGTGTCAATCGCTGGTTGCTGATGAGTGCCGAGGCCAGATCCTGGCAGTCGGCAGCTGTCAGGCCGCAGTTTCCCAGTCTGCAAGGAGAATCCTCAGAAAAAAAATGATGAGGACTAAAAGGGGCATGTCTCCCTCCCTTGCAAGGAAGAGAAAGAAACGTCACCCCCATAGCTGACATGCCCTTGCAGGTATAGGGCAAAGTCACATCATGTCTGCACTGTGAACTCAAAACCAGAGCTTCAGTCCAGCAATAATACTCTAAGTAGCATGGGTTATTATATCTGTGTCCACCACGGGAAACACCGGGCAGTGTGACTCTGCTGTCTGGTTGTTTCTGTTCCCCACATGTACTGTACAGTGAGGTTTTTGCTGAGATGAGTGACCTTCCTATTTAGAAGTACCTATGTTTAACACATCATGACCCTTACGCATAAATGAGACAGTCCACCCATTTCTCAAAGCTTAAGAAGCAATTGTATAATGTTGTAAATATTTTTTAGGGAGCCAGATGGATTCATGTCTTGTTAGGGAGACCACTTTATAGATGGTGATAGAGGCCTGACCACTGCACTGTATTTCTGAAGCTGATGTTGAATAATATTGTATGTCAACTATAATTATATATACATATAGTCACGGGATGTGGAGTAGAGTGTTGTAATGGAGTCAATGGAATTGTAATAGATAAGTATGATATCGGGGGTGGGAGGGCAGTGGATGGGGGAGGGGGGTTACTTTGTGAGGGGTGAAAAGGATAACTATTGCATTGTTCTGTAAACCTGAAACTAATAAAAAAGAAATTTTTTTAAAAAGAAGCAATTGTACATAAAAATAAGAGTTTAATAGTACCTCTCTCATCGGGTTGTGACAAAGTGAAATGAAATGACACATCTCAAGTGCTTAAAGCAGTGCACTGCTTATAGGAAACACTCCATATTGATGGTAATTTCTTTCAATGAAGGAAGTAATGCTGGTTGGGTTGGACTTGAAGGGAATCAGGATATGCCATCCTAAAATATGCGACTTTACACGACTTTAAGTTGATGGCAATGGAGAAAAAGCAGACCCAGGAAGGGCTCTTTGTCATCCTTTATCTACCTAAAAATGGGGCATAAATTTCCCCTGGGCAGGTGTTCCCCCCTCTCCTGTACCAGGAAGAGGACCATGGCCCTTATCACTAGAGAGAAGGAGTCTTGATATAACCCTTACCTACCATTAAGTTCCCCCATATCCTTCCTAGTCATCATCTCAGTTTATCTGCCCTAGAAGCCCCAAATCCTCTTTTTCTTGGTCTAGTCACTTCTCAACAATTTATTGCCTTTTGTTAAAATGGTATAAAACTCCTGTGTCTAACCACTTCATTGGGGTTTTCACTCCCTTTCTGTGAAGTCCCTATGCACTTAAAAAAACCCAATAAATGTGTATGCTCTTTCTCCTGTTAATTTTTCTATTGTCAGTTTAATTTGCAGGCCTCCGACATAGAACCTAAGAGGGTAGATGAAAAGGTGGGGTTTTTCTTTTTCTTTTTTTTTTTTTTACCTTTGCTATTGACTGATGGAGAGAAGGTATGTTGGCTTTTATTATTTAACACCTTCTACAAAGGGTGATTTGTGCAATTTGTTTTTCAACTTTTGCTGTGACTTTAGAACCAAACTCCCACTGAAGGAGGGATGCTATGGCCACAGCATGCTTTGGAAGTGGTGGGGAGAAACAACCTTGCCCAGATTGTAGGACACCAAGAAGGAAATCCCCAGGTAATAGATCAGTTCCTTAAGTGTCAAACAGGAGCTCATGTTTTTGCCCTGCCTTTTACTCCCTGTATGACCTTAAACAAGGGACTTCTTATCGTCTTCTGCATTATTTGCCCTAACAGTCAATGCAATGAAAAGAGTTCCTACCTGGTGGGTTGTTTGTGAAGATGGTGTCAATGGGAACAGAACACTTAGCACAGAACATGGTACTCCACAACACCACAGATGGCTCCAACCACAAGCCTATGACTCTGGGATTTTGGCATTGGTGAAACTTTTCAGTGTATAATACAACATTATCAACTATAATCAGAATGTTGTACATTGAGTCCCAGAATTTACTCATCTTATAACTGGAGGTCTGTACCCTTTGACTGACACCTCCCCATTTCCCCCACCCCCAGCCCCTGGTAACCACCCTTCTCCTCTGTTTTTACAGGTTTGGCTGCTGCCCTCATCTTTTATATAAGTTTAGAGTTCAGTAGCGAAGACACAGATGTTATTTATTGGGTCTTTCTCAAACCTGAACACTGGAGCACTCCCATGAGGTCACAACTGCCATTCTGACCCTTGGCTTATGCATCTGCTAATTCTCCTTTCCCTCCCCCATTACTTGGATGACCTCAGTTAAGACAAGATAACCCTGGTGAAAGGAAGCACAACTCACATCAGCTTCTTCAGGGTGCACTGTGAAACCTTCAAGGCATCACAGAGAGGCATGGTGCCCTGGTGTGTCACCTTATTTCCTGTGAGGCTGAGAGATTTCAGTCTGGTGGCTGTAACCAGGATTTGGGAGATCGCCAGACAACAGGTGTGGGTTAATCCACAGTGATCCAACCTGCAGACACAGACAACGTGAAACACATCCTCGTCTGTCCCCAGAGGCAACCCGGTTCCCCTAACTCACCACATGCCAGCCACTCTGCTTGTTCCTAGACACTGCTTGCTCCCGCGCTCAGGGTCTGAGCACTTGATATTCCTCTGTTTGCAACATCCCTCCTCATCTCCAACTGCAAGTCTTTATGTGGTACAATTTTTCATTCAGGTCTCCTGAACATCCCACCCCACTCCACTCCACTCTCTCCAGCATTATTTTATTCACAGTAATGATCACTAGCAAACATTTCCTATATTTCTATGTGTACTTGTTTTTTTAATTGAAATATATTTGACACATAACATTGTGTAAGTTTAAGGTATAAATATGTGGATTTGATACATTTAGATATTGTAATGTGATTGCCATTATAGCAATAGTTAGCTCCTCAATCATGTCACATACATATCATTTCTTTTTTGTGGTGGGAATAATTAGGGTCTAGTCTCTTAGGAGAACAGGAAGTGATTTCCCCTGCAAAGAAAGCCCAGGAAATCCTTTCCTCCATGGAACCCTCCTCAAGCTCTTTAGTTGCCTTCCAGTGGGCAAACACTTCAAGTATTTTTAAGCATTTTTTAGTTAGTATAGTGGGTTCATCTCAACACAAAACTTTTAGGTTCTTTTTGCTTACAGAACAGAGAGACTTTTGCAAAGACAATTCTAAATGTTTATACATATTTGTATAGTATACTCAGCTTTATGCAACTATTTCTCCCTAAAATTTATGTGCAATTTATGTAAATTTAAACATAGCTGCATACAAAAACAAGAAGATCTAGTCTCTTAGCAAGTTTTATGTTTATAATCCAATGTTGTTTTCTGCAATGGTTATACTGTGCATTAGATCCCCAGGACCTATGACTCTAGTAATTGCAAGTTTGTAGCCTAACATCATCTCTCTTATTGCCCCTGGTAACCACCATTTTACTCTGTTTTTATGAAATTTTAGAGTCCACATGTAAGTGAGATCCTACAGTATTTGTCTTCCTCTGTCTGAATATCTCACTCAGCACGATGCCCTTAAGGTCCACCCATGTTGCCACAAATGGCAGAACTTCTTTCTCATCGCTGAATAATCACTAGCAGTAATTTTTTGTCTCTCTTCCTCCATAGAACATAACCTTCATGAGGGAGAGGATCTAGCCTGCCTTGCTCCCTGCTGTATCTTCAGTACTTACAATAGTGCCAGGTACAGAGCAGGCACTCAAGCATTTGCTGAAAGGTGCAGTCTCCTGGGAAAACTGGCAATGCTTATGAAAGCTGAATGTACACCTACCCCATGACCCCTCTACTCAATTCTCCCCCAGAGTACATTCCCAAGGTCTGACATGTCGGTGTGCCACTGTGCTGGGAGCATCACACTGAACCCAAGCTTGTTATACTGTGGGTGCAGCATCCACAGATAGTTGGCAGCAGCTTTCTCCTTGTTCCCAGAGGCTGCTGTCAAACCCACCTGGTGTTAGGAGAACACCTATGCACATCCATCCTGCGAGGACTTCTGTGCTTCGGCTGACTTCCTTGGGTCACGTTCTTAAAAGCGAAGTTCACGAGTTACAGAGCAAATGCACGCAGGGTGCAAAGCAAATCACTCTTCCACACTTGCTGTGTGTCTATGAACACAGCTCAAGACAGAGCTCATGCTTCTGTGTCTAACAGCCTGAGCATCCCATAGGAGTGTCTTCAGACCCAGCCAGTCTAATTAATCGATAAAACATATGCCTGGATGTACAAAACTGTAGTGATAGCCCCAAACTGGAAATTACCGCAATGTCCCTGGATAGGTGAATGGTTATACCACCTGTACCACCCAACAGTACTCAGCGATAAGAAGGAACACATGAATACACAAAACAGCTTGGATGGATCTCAAAGGCACCTGCTGAGTCAGAAAAGCCAATTGTAGTGGTGATGAACTGTATGATTCTGCTTTGAGAGTGTGGTCAAAACGATAAAATTATAGAGATGGAAAACATGAGTTATAGCCATAGGTTAGGGGTGGTAGGTGGGAAGCTGTGGCCAGAAAAGGGTAACACAAGGGTGATGGCACTTTTGTGTCTTGGTTGCAGTGTGGTTTCATGAATCCACACACATTCACATTTTATGTGACAAAATGACATAGAATGACACACATGTCCTGCTTTTGACATCGTACTATACTTATGTAAGATATAACCATTGGGAAAAACTGGCTGCAGGATACATGTGACCTCTCTGATTTTTAAAAATCTCTATCTATGGAACATTGAAAGTTACTTTTTTTACTGTAGTAAAATATAGATCACATAAAATTTCCCACCTTTCCCATTTTTCAGCACACAATTCAGTGGCATCAAGTCGCACACTGTTGTGCGACCATCACCACCATCCATCTCCAGACACTGTCATCCTCCTATTTGTAATATTTTTGCAACTTGCTGTGAATTGTTTCAAAATAAAAACTAAAAACAAACAAACTACAAAAAAACCTGAAATCAAAAATGCGAAAATCATAACCAGGACTTACCTCAAAGACTCCAACATACAACTTGGATGTCTTAGTGCTTCATGCGCCATCCCCATATCTTCGTCCTTCAGGTGAGTGCCTTCCAAGTTCAAGTATTTAATACTATGGTTGATGACGACAGTCCTCCAGAGATATTGGAGACCAAAGGTAATTTGTGCACTTTTAAATCTACAGAAGAGAAACAGGAAAATATGAATCAGACAGTGGAGACATTTAGTTGTGCCCTAATTTTTCCTTTTCATGCTTTTGCCATTCCAACTCTCATCCCTCTCATTATTTGCGTTTACTTAATTTTTAAAAGATTTTATTGGGGAATTGGGGGAGCGGAACAGCGCTGGAGAATCGGGGGAAGGGGAACAGACAAGTTGCTGTCCTTTTGTTCTTCAGTCTAGTTGTGGAGGACGTTGCTTCACTGGCCCAAGCTGGCACCATCATTGCACTCTTCCCGGGCGAGGCAGATCAGTCGCCGGCCTCTGGACCGCCTCTCACTGCGACTGCTGGCCGCTCACGCTGGCTGCTGGCTGCTGGCTACACACGGTAGCCCATGGCAACCCACTGCCACAAGGGCTGCAGCCTACTCCGTCGCCGGCGACTCACAGCAGCCCGCTCCAGGTTGAGCCATTGTTCAGCATCTTAGCTGCAGAGGGCAGTGTCACTGGCCCTCATATGTGGGATCCGAACCGGGGCCCTCTGGCATCCCAAGCCAGTTCTTAACCAATGCGCCACTCGGCCGGCCCCATTTACTTAATTTTAAAGCAACAAATACTAAGTCACCTATGATGCACCAGACACTGGGAAGAGAGTATTAAACAATGCTAATGTTCGTGCTTTCATGGAACTTCATCCAGTGGGGGAGACACTCAACAAAGAGTCGAACAAAACAATTAGGCTTAAGAATGAAATATGGTAAATGACCAAACAAAACAGAAACAGACTCATATATACAGAGGGCATTTTGATGGTTGCCAGATGAGAGAGGGATTGGGGGATAGGGTGAAAAAGGGGAAGGGAATGAGATGTACAAATTGCCAGTTATAAAAACAGTCACAGGGATGTAAAGTACAGCACAGGGAACATAGTCAATAATACTGTAATAACTATGGATGGTGCCAGTTGGGGACTAGATTTATGGGACGATCACTTTGTAAGGTATATACATGTCTAACCACTACACTGTACTCCTGAAACTAATTAAGAATAGGGCAGAACTACACACAGATATATGACCCAGTTCAAGTTGAAGAAAAAAGTCAAATGTCAGAATATGTATAACATGATACCATTTTCATTTAAAAAATTCATATGCCAATATGTACATGTAATTGCATGTAAAATGTATGAGATGTGAAAGGAGTTAATTAGGAAAACAGGAAATTGAAGAGGCGTCCAAGGATTTACTTAATACCCTGTCATTCCTAAATCTTTTTTGCCATTATCATGTATTACTGTTGTATTACAAATACAGTGATGACACGCGGATTAAAGCAAACTACAGGATGTAACTCGAGTTTAAAAGAGGGACAGCTAGTGGGGAGGGGGTCCCAAGAAAAAAGCATTCATCTAACAGCTGACAGAGGAGTTAAGATTGGTGTGGGACTCAACTCTGGGCTCACTAAGCCCCTTGGCACAGCCCAGTTTAAGGAAAGTACTTAGATAAGATACAGAAAAGGCAGGAAGGTGTTTGCAACCAAGAATGTGACTTGCTCTAGTCTTGGGTGTCACGTGTGCTTCTCTTGGTCTTGGAGGGAAGAGCAAATAATAGAACCTTTGTCTGATATGAAACTAGCACTTCATCTTCTACTCCAGGTGAGGGTTCTGGGGTCTACAACAAATCCAGGAACTCACTAGGTGTTCAAATATTTGCTACCCTATGAATTAACCTAAAAGCATAAGCACTGATTTAAAGCCTCCTGTAAATAATGCCCTTTGATCTTACCATTGCCTCATGCTCTACCATTCACCTTAAATGAGCTCCCCTCACCTTTTTCCTATTAACTAACTCCTATTCATCCTTCAAAACCCAGAGTAAATGAGCCCACCTCAGTAACCCCTTCACAATGTCTTTAGTTACTCCCCATCCTCTGCTTTTGGGAACTTAGTTCCTATGCCTCCTGCAGCACTTATCCCCTCTGATTACATGTTATAGATTGGTCTTCTCTCAGTAGGTGGGAGAGGAGAGCTGTGACAGCCATGCAAAGGGGCATGTACAGGGGCTGAGATGCCTTACATCAGATTCTGTATTTTACAGGTTGGCTGTCTGAGCTTGATGCACAGGGTCCTCATGGCCCATTCATTCAGGATGCTGCCACTTAGGTCCAGCTGTTGTAGGTTTGGGTGGGTGCTGAGCACCAAGCAAAGATTTTCCCACCAGTTCTCAACTGGGACCTTGATCTGCAGCCTACATTGGAGAAGGAAACAAACATCTGCTTCACATGATGAATATTCACACAAACATCAGTTGCAAGAATGTCAAAATTGAGAGATCAGCCTATCAAGGTGAGACAGGGATGGCTTTAGAGGTTTGGAGGCCAGTTTAGTGATGTCACCTTGTGTTCTGCATGAGCGCTCTCATATCCATCTTGCATTCTGAGTGTTTGGTACCCCAAGGAATACACTAGGATGATTTGGAGCCACCGGCTCTCAAATCAGACTTGTGCTTAAATTCTAGCTCCCCCTTGAATACAAAATGGTGCAGTCACTATGGAAAACAGTATGGAGGTTCCTCAAAAAATTAAAAATAGAACTGCCTTATGGCCCAGTGATCCCTTCTACAAAAGAATTGAAATCAGGGTCCTAAGAGATATTTGCACTCCATTATTCACAATAGGTAAGATATGGAAACAACCTAAATTTCCATTAGTGGATGACTGGATAAAGAAAATGACACACACACACACACACACACACACACACACATGCACAAAATGGTGGCTCTGTCAGGTCATGGATATGCTAATTAGCTTGATTGTGGCAATTATTTCATTATATCAGAACAGCTACCTCCATAAAGATGGAAAGAATAAAACTGCAGAGGAGGGTACTCACCCTTGTGGAATCATGGGCCATGCCTCAGTGACCTCATCTTCTGAGAAGATCTCTCTGACATCCATCTGAATTTTCCATAAATACTGGCAGTGCTGGAGACAGTAGGAAGACACTAGTAAGTCCATTGGCCGGTTAATCAAAAGCCATACTTCTTGGAAGCTGTTCAATGCCAAGTGAACAAACTCTTCGTCCTGAGTCTCAAAAAGACAGTAGAAGGAGTCCAGGAAGTCTAGAGGGGTGGTGTTGTTGGCCTGTTGACCTAACAAATAGATCCAGTGGAGAAGTGCCCGTTTCACCACTGGGGGGATAGCACACCCCAGCAGGTTTTCCAGAACACTCACCACCTTCTTGTTCATCAGGCCAAACAAGAAACGCTTCACTTGCAGCAAGTGGGCATTGCTGCTGATTTGTTTGAGCTCCATTAAAGTCTTTATATTCTCCATGAACAGAGGGTGGGGCTCCCACTCTTTTTCCAATCCTTCTAGAATGTAGTACAAGGCAGCACAGAACTCTTGGAGGCTGGGGTGGGGGAACGTGTAACACCTCTCACCAGGGTCGTCTGGAAGAAGGATGTTCATGTGAAACAGGGCAGAGAGCTCCGACTCGGTCAGTCCATAAACGCGCAAGTCATCGCCGTAAAACACAAACTTGGTGCCCCACACCCCCTCCGCGGCCATCTGGCACAAAGCCTTCAGGACAGCTCTTTCTTCCAGGCTGAGACAACGCCTGAAGGCATCTCGAGGGGTGAGCTGATGGGCCACAAAGGTGACGTACAAGCCCGTGAGGATTTGGCAAGCATGTGGCAGACTGTTCCCCGCCGCCTCTTGCATCTGGAGAGCCTGGCAGATAAGCGACCACATGACGGGAACCTGACACTTGCCAAACAGCTGGTGGTTGTCCACCACTGAGTGCAACACTCGAATTTTCTGATGCTCATTCTTCATGTGCTCCAGGAACAACTGAGTCCTCCTTTCCATCGACATTCCTTCAACTAAGAGGTAACGGGGAGATGTGACCACAGCTTGGAGATTTTCCACTCCCACGTCTCTGATGGTGACGATTAGGGATGCTTCGGGGAGCAGGACTTTCTTCAGCAGACTACGCATCAGGACAGACACGGGCCGCCTCTCCGCCCAGTCGTCACAGAGGTGCGTGTCATCATCCTCTTTGAAGGCAACGTCCAGGTCATCAAAACCATCGACCACAAACAAGAGCCTTTCTGGTTGGGACAGGATGTCCATCACGGGGGCCGGGGAATCTGGCCACTCCCCAGAAATTAACTCCATAAAACTGCTCTCCCTCCTGGATTGCACCTCTCCGGCGTGGAAAAAGAAGACGTAGGAGAACATGCCGGGGTACAGCTCCCCTCGGGCCCAGTGCAGCAGGATCCTCCGGGCCAAAGCTGACTTGCCGACTCCTGACTCTCCGTGTACCACCACAGTGCGGGGCCGGAAGCCCCACTGGTCAGGCGTGAACGCGCCAAACAGCATTTGCATTTGTAGACAATCAGAGGCCAGGGTTTTGAAATCGTGGTGTGCATCTGACATCATGGCGAATTTTGTAATCACGTGACCCTTGTAATGCCATTCATCTCCTCCTAAGTCAGGCAGGGAAGGGGAGAAGAAAAACAGAAAGAGTTTGAAGACAGTCTGGACTTCAAGCAGTCTATGTGAATGAGAGTTCTATTTGCTCCCAGCAACGTACTGATAACGAGCTGCACCCCTCGTTCCTCCATTCGATTGTGTCCTCTAATGCTTGTGGACTTCCTACAAAAGAGCTCTATTTGTTCCTTTAACCTAATTTCCCTATTCAGTGCTTAATACCTGACACATTGCATTTTTGTCTGCTTGTGATGTGTCTCCCCCAGTAGAGTTTATGCAGGGACTTTTACATTTAATGTTGTATCTCGGTATTTATAACTGCCTGACACCCTGTGGACACGCAAGTCTGTTCAATGAATAATTACTCCAATGCTGGTATGAGGTCTGTAAAAGACAGAGGAGCATAGGGGAGCTGAAGACATGTGTGCCATGGCCCTAGACACATAGGACTGGTATGCATCTCCAGGTCCATCCTGTAGGTCCAGGCTATGATGGAGAAACACCTCCATGTGATGGACACAGAAAGGCAAGCAAAGCTCTAGAAGTTAGATCCTGCTGGGGGTCCCAAGCTGTATTCTGTATTGTCTTCCTGATTTGGAACATGTTGCCTCCCTCTCTGGGCCTCAGTTTCCCCACTTCTGAGATGATATTAACATTCTCTTAAAAGGTTTATGATACTAATTTTAAAAATAAAATAAAGGAAAAAAAGAGTTATAATAAATATTTAAGAAAGAATGTGCATTATTTTAGCACAGGACCTGGCAAAAATAGTCAATGGCCAGTATTATCATTACAAATCATAATTCTTTTTAAAAAGTAAAAAAATTCAATTAGTTGACATTCAATATTATATTAGTTTCAGGTGTACAATGTAGTGGTTAGACATTTATATACCTTACAAAGTGATCCCCCTGATAAGTCTAGTACCCACCTAGCACCATAGTTATTACAATATTATGGACTATATTCCATATACTGTACTTCACATCTCACGAATATTTTGTAACTGCCAATTTGTACTTCTTAATCCGTCCACCTTTTCCACTCAGACCCTCAACCCCCTCCATCTGGCCACCATCAAAATGTTCTCTGTATCTTTGAGTTTGTTTCTGTTTTGTTTGTTCATTAGTTTTTTTAGATTCCACATATAAGTGAGATCATATGTTATTTATCTTTTTTTCTGTCTAATTTCACTTAGCATAATTCCCTGTAGATCCATCCATGTTGTCACAAATGGTAAAATTTCATTCTTTTTTATTGTCAAGCAATATTCCATTGTATAAATGTACCACATCTTCTTTATCCAATCATCTATTGATGGACACTTAGGTTGCTTCCATATCTTGGTTATTGTGAATAATAGTTCAATGAACATAGGGGTGTTATACCATTTCAAACCATAATTCTTTCATATTGCCCTATTTATTTTTATCTCAATGTTTGTCATAAACTGCAATTCTTTAATTATTGTCTAGCCCCTAGCTTACAATGCAAGTTCCACGAGAAAAGAACCTTGTTATCTTATCTCCACACCTCCAACCTCTTCAAAAGTCTCTGACATCTGGTAGTTACTAACACGGAAAAAAAAAACCCCTCTAATTCTGGGTCCTTACATTTGTTGGTATTACCATGATCTTTTAAAAAAGACAGGAGTCTTGTATGCAAGTGTAAGACAATTACTAGCTCTACATAAAATCTCTACTAATAGTTCTAAACCTTATACTTCCTTACTCTGTATCATGTCTGTGCCAAGAGTTCCAAACATGTCTATCTGACTTCTTTCCTAAGATTCCAGGCGCTGGTGTCTAACTCACCACCTGAAAGTGTCACAGGGACCTTACTCACATTCAATGTATCAAAAACTTATTTCATCTTTGACCTCCAACCAAAAACGTACTCCTCACAAGTTTTCTATAAGTGATAATTAGAAAAAGTCTTCTATTTGTGAACTTAATTTTGAACAGCTATTTGGATGTTTCATACATAAATCTAATTTTAGTCTCACAACTGTCTACGGTAGTCTGGTCATCTATAAAATGGGGATATTCATTCTTTCTTTATGACGTTAATGTAGGATGCCATGGCCTAGTCATAAAATGTGAGAACAGTGCCTCACCCATAGTAAGTACTCTAGAAATGTCCTCAATATTGGTACTTGGTACTATTCATCCCAACTGAAAATGGACAATACTGGCAGCCATTAGGTTTTCAAGCATCTGTCCAACAAATGATTAAGTAATGCATGCTGTGTCATCATGTTATGTTGTGCAGGTGGGGACAAAGCTCAGCTTGAAGTGATTCCAGAGTTTGAAATTTATATCATTGACTCCTGGTCTAACGACCCATCAGTTGTCCAAGCAGAAGATAGGAACCATTCATGAAGCTTTTTCTTCTGAAAACCCAGACTCCAAGTTCTATTAAATATCTCACAAGTCAAATCACTTCTTTCAATCACCACTTCCTTCATATCAGCGGTTCTCAACCTTCCTAATGCCACGACTCCTTAATACAGTTCCTCGTGTTGTGGTGACCCCCAACCATAAAATTATTTTCGTTGCTACTCTATAACTAATTTTGCTACTGTTATGAATCGTAGTGTAATTATCTTTTTGTTTTCCGATGGTCTTAGGTGACCCCTGTGAAAGGGTTGTTCGACCCCCAAAGGGGTCGCGACCCACAGGTTGAGAACTGCTGTTCTATATGAATGTTAATAGCAGCATTATTTACAACAGCTAAAAAGTGGAAAGCACCAAAATGCCTATTGTCTGATGAATGGATAAAGAAAATGTGGTCTTTCCATATGATGGAATATTATTCAGCAGTAAAAATGAACTAAGTGTTGATATGTGCTACAACAGGGGTGAACTCGGAAAACATTGTACTAAATGAAAGAAGCCAATCATATATTGCATGAAGGGCCAGATACTGCATGATTCCATTTATAGGAAATGTCCAGAACAAGCAAATTCAGACAGAAAATAGATCAGTGGTTTCCTAGGGCTGGGGGAAGGAAGTGGGGAGTGGCTGCTTGTGGGTATGGCGCTTCTTTTGGGGTGAGGAAAGCCTCCTGGAATTAGATAATGGTGACAATTGCACAATCTTGTGAATGTACTGAAAACTACTGAATTCTACAGTTTAAAAGGGTGAGCTTTTTGTATATAAATTACATCTCAATAAAAAAGCCTCAAGTGACATTTCCTCAGAGATGTCTGGTCAACAGGTGTGACTGGTCAACTGTCATTTCACACAATCATTAGCACCTGGGATCTTCATTTAATATTTTGTTTGGTTTAATTAATGTATAACTCTGGACTGTCAACAGTATGAGGGCAAGAAATTGTGTGTATGTGGGTGTATTTTACTCCCAAAGTCCTATCACAGTTCTTCAAATGGTAGGATTTCACTAAATAAAGGTTGAAAGGAATTAAGAAAAATCAAAATAAAAGGAAATTAAAGAAAAAATCAGCACTAGTTAAGTAATTTTGAACAAAGTAATTGACTTCTTGTCTCCATATTTAGCAGCTGTCCAACTAGCTTGTCCCGGGTGCCCACATTCTATAGCATGAACTTTGGAATTTATCTTCCTAAATTTGACTTCTGATAATCACAGTGAACGTACATGACTTGTCCATGGTGATCCCAGGAGCTCTTAAGGGAAGCGACTGACTCACCAGAGACAAATGAGGATGAAGAAAGCGAAAGGGAGTTCCCCCCCCCCCACCATCTACACTCCACACACTGCTCTTCCCCCAACTTCATTTCTAGATGGCACAAAATATATATGAATAAATCAAATTTCTTTACCTTGATCTTTTATCTCTGCTGCTGTGGCACCATCTTGTTCCATAGCTTGTGACATTTCTGGAGGGGGAGGGGAGGGGGAAGGAAGAATAAACTCCCATGCACTTAGGTGAATTATCCAAATCAAAGATGGTACAGACCCACTAAGTTCCTGAGATAAGCTTCGCAATGCCAGACTCATCTTCTGAACTGTCTGGAACATGGCAACCATGGGCTCAGCTAGAGAGGAAGAGCATACATAAAATGAGCACTAGGTTCGAAATCAGAATGTATGGGTTCTGGTCTCATGTTGGCTCTTTATTCTGGTAGATCTTTGGGCAAGTCATTACAATGAGGGGTCAAATCTAGTGGTTAAGAGCTAAGGGTCTGGGGCTGGCAGAGTGGCTCAGTTGGTTAAGAGTTAGCTTAAAAGCATGAACTCTGAGCAGCAAGGTTGCTGGTTCAATTCCCACATAGGCCAGTGATGATGCGCCCAAGCTAAGCTGCCTCTGAGCTGCCAACAGGTGGCAGGATAGCTCAACTGGTGAGAGCCCGAGCTCCTAACAACAAGACTGCCTCTTCAATGGTGGGCTGTGCCCGCCCTCAACTAGACTGAACTCAGCACCTTGAGCTGAGCTGCCACCCCGATGGCTCAGTGGATAGAGCATGCACTCTTAACAACAAGGCTGCTGGTTCGACTCCCACAAAGGGTGGTGGCTATACCCATCCGCAACTATTGGGTTGTCAGAAAAGTCATGACGTATTTTGTCTGTGTTTTTCAAAGGTCATTTATTTATATAAAGAACAAAGATCAATCAATGTTATATTGCCTGTTTTGTTCGATAACATTTTGCCATCTTTCAGTGAGCTTCATAATTCCTCATTCATAGAAAGACCTGTCTTTATTTCCGAAAAACTGAACAAGGTGCTGATTTACAGCCTCATCTGAATTGAACATTATACCACGCAAGGAGTTTTGAAGACAGCGAAGCAAGTGGAAGTCTGATGGTACAAGTCCAGGCAAATATGGTGGGTGTGGCAACACATCCCATCCAAGCTCCAATAAGTTTTGACTGGTGATCGAAGTTGTGTGTGGTCTTGCATTGTTGCGATGGAGCACAACTCCTTTACAATTAACAAGCTCTGGACATTTCTAGATGATGGATTCATTCAAACTGTCCAACTGTTGACAGTACACATTCGAATAAACTGTTTAGTTCCTTGGTAGGAGCTTGAAAAACACAACACCTTTAAAATCCCACCACATTGAGAGCATAACCTTCCTCTGATGAACGTCTGCTTTCGATGTCGTTTGAGGCGAATTATCACAACGGGACCAAGACTGTTTGCGCACCACATTGTTGTAAACAATCCATTTCTCATCACCAGTTAATAGTTGTTTCAAAACAGGATAGTTTTGCTCACGTTTAATGAGCATATTGCAGATGCTTATACGCACCGTCAAATGAACTTCTTTGAGTTCATGTGGAACCCAAATATCGAGCTTGCTTATGTATCCCAGCTTCTTCAGGTGGTCGTGAACACTTGGCTGGATGTTCAATGTTTCTGCAATCTCTCGTGTCATGTAACGTGGGTTTGACTCTATCAATGCCTTTATTTTGTTGTCATCAACCTTGGTGGGCCTCCCTGACTGAGAAGTGTCGTTAGATCAAAATCACCAGCACGGAATTTCATGAACCGTCATCAGCACTGACGTTCTTGTAGAACACTGTCACTGTAAACTTTATGCCACTTTTCATAAGCTTGATGCGCATTCTTCCCTTTATGGAAGTAAAACAGTAAAATATGGCAAAAATGCACAGTTTGGTCTTCCATCTTTAACTTGTTGTAAAATCTCCAAAACTCAACAAAATCACTCAATTTTTTTTGGAATGAAGCTAGAACTGTCAGCTGTCAAATGACATAGCAATAACATAGATGCGAATGAGTCTAGTACTTCCAAAAATGAACTAGTGCCATCTGTCGCAAACATGCATCATGACTTTTCTGACAACCCAATAAAACTGAACTCGGATCCTTGAGCTGAGCTGCCACCCAGATGGCTCAGTGGATAGAGCATGAGCTCTTAATAACAAGGCTGCTGGTTCAACTCCCACGTGGGATGGTGGCTACTCCCATCCACAACTAAGATCATAGCACAGCACCTTGAGCTTAGAGACCACAAGATGCTGCCGGGCAGCCAGATGGCGACTGGTGCCCTCCACAATGAAGATTGTAGAACAACAACTTGGCTGGTCCCCTTCCCAAATTCCCCAACACTGTTCCTCTCCCCCAGTTCCCCAATTTTTTTTAAAAAAAGAACTAAGTGTCTGGAGTCAGATACACGATTTAAATGTGAATTCTGTCACTACCTTTGAGGTCACAATTTAATGGACTTACGTGCTTCTGTTTGTTCATCTACGTTGTTCTGAAGATTACTGAGGTGATTTGGTAGAGGAATGTCACAGTCTTTAACATATAATAGCTAACAGTTATTAAGAATAGCCACTCTGCATACTTATTAGGAAATAGTTTCTAGGTTTTCAAGTATTTGTACATATTTTTCTTAGAATATGTGAGAATGATCTTGCCATATTTAAGGAACAGTTACAAGGGTGGGGTTAGTCTTGCCACTTACAGAAAAATCATTATTTTATGCTTTGCCACAAACTAATTGCATGTAACCAGACTAGAGATAGAGTATAGATTCAAATGGAATGACTGTGATACACAGGCTCTGGGGAGAAATGCATAGAAATGAATCATATTTTAGAGGTAGGTTTCATATGATTTCCTGATTCATTAGGTAGAGGGTAGAGAAAGGAAAGACTCAATCAATAAATAAACAGACTAAAAACTGACTATGATTTTGGTGTGAGTAGTCCCTTGGTCCTGTGACCAAGATACAAAACAGTGGAGGCAGATATATAGAAAAACACTCTATCCAATAACAGAAAACGTGTTCTTTCAAAGCACACATGTTGTCCTGTGAGACACAGTCCCAATTTGAAAGGGTTGAAATCATACAGCATAAGTTCTCTTGGTTCAGAAAAGTAAATCATAAATCAGTAGCAGAGGGAAATTTGGGAAATACACATATATGTGGAAATTAAACAAGGCGATCATAAATAATCAAAGGGTCAAAGGAAAAATCACAAAGGAAATTAGAAATTTTTTTAAGACGAGTGGAAATGAAACACAATATACCCAAACTTATGGCATACAGCTAAAGCCACGCTTACAGAAAAATCAAAAGCTGTCAATGTCTCTACACATAGGGTTTTGGCCATTTAGCCTCTGGGTCTCAATGTTGTTATTGGACAAGTGAAATTACAGTTATTACCACATAGGCAGTATGAGAATTTTGAGAATGGCACTTGACAATGTGCCGACCCATAGGTCTCAGTGAATGTTGGTTCTTGTGTACAATAATAATTTAGAAAGGTTTCCCAAAGTGGCTGATGATAAAAGTCCAGCTTCTGTCAGTTTCAATTTGGTCCTACTGTCCATCACTGTCTCTGTGTCATACCATCGCTAAACTGCCACTTTGTAATCTATTGTAGTAAGATACAACTATATCACTGGGGAGAGAATAACCCACAGGACTTACCCTGTTAAGCCTAGATTTACATTAAACTTAGAACAACTGGTAACCTCTGGGATTCTGGGACTGAATCATCAATTTCTGCGCCTTGAGCATTCAGGGTGCTTTCCTGTCCACAGCCTGAACAAAGCTGCACCAAAGTGAGGTTGGTGTAGACTCTTTCTAGGTGTTAGAGTTCATGGACAGCACCGATAGCTGGAAAAGTCTCAAGATACAGGTGGTAGTGAGGGTTATAGTAGAGTGCATGTTGTCTACATAAGCCCGACTCTCTCCCTCTGGGTTGATGTCTCACTGGGTTACATCCTATCTGCTGGTTCATCTCCCTTCTGCACCACTGAAGTGTAAGCTTTGTGAACTGTGTCCATGGATGTGCCACAAGTACACAGAGCAGTGCTTGGCATATTGTCAGTACTCAAATGTTTGGGGAATTGTATCGAGTCTGGTTTCAGGCTACCTGGTCCTCTCCACCAAAGCCTCCAAAACAGGTTATTAGGAGAGGCTTGTCCTAGAAGTGTCATGAAGTTGCCCAAACTGAAGATGGAAATCCAATGAGACGTAATAAAGCCTTAAGACCACACTGCTCCCTTGGACTTAGACAAAGAAAGACAATGATTACCAGATCCTCAGAACCTATCCAGTCAGCTAACAGTAGGCCATTAGACTTGAAGGAACATCAGACTATCAGAAGCCATGTTTCCAGTCTTAGACGTGCCACTAACTCATCACCATGTGGCTTTACATGTACATTTCTCCACCACCCTCACACTGACCTGGCTCTTCTTCCATGCTTGTTCCTTGGTCAGTCTTCACTGGTGTAGAATCTTCTGGTACTTCGACCAGTGAACATTCTGCAACAGAGTAGATGAAGAGAATGGCCTCATAGGAATTACCCAGACCAGGGATGAGAGCATGCCCTGTCCAAATTACCAAGGAGAACCAAGAAGAATCCCAGGATCTCAGTTAATTCCATGACTATCCTGTAATGGGGACAGTGGAGTCAGAGAGAAACAGATTTATAGTCAAGAGTGCTCTGACTTTGAACTTGGAAATGTACATTTCAATCCCTGTTTTGCTCTTGGCCTTGGGTAAGTCTTATAATGAGGAAGTATGTTATGGTTATTATGAATTTATCGTCAAGAGTCATCTTACACACCTTTCTTGAATTTCAGACGAAATGGCCTCTCGAACTTCAGACTAGTTAACTAGTCACTAGATGCATGTGGGTTACCCAAATAGAGGCACCTTCAACTCATGAGGTCTCCCACTGACTACTCTTCCCAGTCTACATGCTACAAACATCTTTCCTGGGCTGAGGCCATGGAAACCCATCCGCCCAGTTTCTCGTGCCAGAAACTTGGGTATCATCCTTGATACCATACTCTCCCTCTGAATGTAGTCCTCAAAAACTGCTATGTTGGGCTGGCCGAGTGGCACGATGGTTAAGAACTGGCTTGGGACACCAGAGCGCCCTGGTTCAGATCCCACATATGAAGG